TGGATAGGCCAAGCTTCAAAAAAACCCCAAAAGATATATATATATATATACTTAATATAAACATGTATTTGCAAGTACATAATCAAAACAATCAAATTTGATTTTAATAATATGATGTACATGGATAGGAAAAAGGAAAAAAATTTAAATAGCCAGAAACATTGCTTTTTAAAGTGAATTTTTTGAAGGGAAATAAATTTTGAGAATAACAACTAAATGATAAAAAGACAAAAATCACTCATAAAAGTACTGAAAGCAGAGTAACAATAGTAGGTTTCCATACACTGAAAGAAAAAAGGTTTCCACACACAGAAAAAAGAGGAAGATTAATAAAAGGAACCAAATGAAAACATTAAAGGACTACAGTTATCAGAATTGAGGATAAAAGACTGAAAAGAAATAAGGGCCTAGAGACACTAGACTTGGTATGATACAGAGGAAAATTATAAAGATAACAATGATACATAAGGTTAAGATTAAGATAACAATTGATACATAAGATTAAGATGTGCTTTCCAGAAAAAATAAGAATGCTTCCCTTTCTTAGCAATACAAAAGAAAAATATGTTCTGTGGGCTCTGTTTTAAAGCTTCCACAAAATTGTCATTTTAAAAGGTTTAATTTTTGAAGAGAATTCAAAAGATACAAGTAAAATTGGATGCTTAACTAACAAAACACTAAACTTAAAAAGCAAAACCTATAAAAATTAGTTCTACAGCATAAATTCAACTCATAAAATTTCTAAAAAATCATTTTTACTTACAATTGGCATTGATCACCTTTTATTCCTTTAGTTGTACAGAAACATTTTCCTGTGTGCAGATGACAAATATTTGCATGGCCACTGCATGTACAAGCTGTAAGTCAAAACCAAAATGCTATTGAATACTCTACATCACAAACATGCACATTGCATTTCAGGGAAGGTATTATTATTATTACCTTATGCTTATGTCCTCTTATTTCCTCATGCCATCCAAAAGCTTAAAGGTTACCACATATTGTAAGCTGGTTTTAACTGAAGGGAAGTAAATTCGCTTATTTGAAATTTTTTGAAATTCTATAAATTCTTTGGGGGTATCTTGAAGTCCATTTTCTCTTACTGACACCAATACAATCACAGATCAGATATTTTTTTACTTTCAGTATTTCTAGGTTATAATTCATTCTCTAATCCAGTTACATATTCTAAAAAGACAAGGCTGATTGTGTCACTAACCCCTTCAAAAAACTTTAGTGAGAACTATTGGTGTTCTTTCACACAAACGGCTAGTTAAACCATTCTATTAACAAAAATGAAATAATATGATCTTTTCCTGATTCAAACACACATATAATCAAGCTAATGAGTCAAAATTCCCCAATGGTCAACTTTTTTATTATTATTTTCTCTTAAAATATCAATAGCAATTCTAGTATGTATGCTAATGAAGTACCAAATGCAAACAAATGTAACCAGATAATCATATTGCTATTTTTATCGAGTCTCCAAAATAAAATAGATTTTATATACCAAAATGAAGTACAAGACCAATATGAACATTTTCAAAGAAATCTTTGGACCAGAGAGAGTCAATAAAAGAATCAAAAAGAGTGAAAGCTGAGAGGATTTGGTGAGGATTATCAGAAAAAAAAAAACATTTCAGTGTTATTAATCCAGTCTTCTACCTCCCAAGGGAATGTCTGCCTGGCCTCTTATTCAAGCCTAACGAGACATCACATGAGCTCTTTGAAGAGCTTGAGGTGGGTCCCCTAAAATCTAGGTGGCATATTAGATGTGACACAAATATTCAGCTGTGAATAGCTATGGCTATTTAACTGAGGTGGCAGGACAAATAGAAAGGGCCACTTTTCGAAACTGTCAGCATTTACGCCAAAGTGAAAGAAAATAATATATGTTTCCTCTAGCTGACCTAGAACTGCTTAAAAATCTGACCAAGAGGACTGCGTGAAAGCATCAGGGGACTCCAACTAAAAAAGCAGAAGAAAAAGTTGCCACTACAGGAAAAGAAATATGTGTCACCTTCATCAAGAGAATTGCACCTGGATAGGCCAAGCTTCAAAAAAACCCCAAAAGACACCTATGTGAGAATGGATCAGCAGTTGTGCATCTCTCACACCGTGGACCTCAACCACAGATGACAACTATCCCTCACACATAATTTTTTTCTCTTCATAGAAAGATCAAAAACATTACCAACCCAGAAAATGAGGAAAATCCTAAATATAGAAAGAGAGAGCATCCAGAATAGAGGCAAAGAGAAAATGTGGCTTCAAAGTACATTCAGAGTTCTGATTTTTATTTGATCTAGACAATTTTAATTATTTATGTAAGCACGTGTTTGCAAATTAAATCTTCAAAGTTCCTTATATTAACTAAGAGTGAATCTGGGATTCTGGGATTTCATACAAGGTCAATGAGAAAACTTATTTGACTAAATACATTTTTTTCTCTTTTTCTTTCTTTCTTTTATTTTTTTTTCTTTTTTTTCTTTTTTTTTTTTTGAGACATGGTGTTGTTCTGTTGCCCTGAGTAGAATGCAGTGGCATCATCACAGCTCACTGCAACCTCCAACTCCTGGGCTCAAGCAATCCTCTTACCTCAGCCTCCTGAATAGGAGGCACTACAGGTACGTGCCATAGTGCCTGGATAATTTTTATATTTTTAGGAGAGATGGGGTCTTGCTCTTGTTCAGGCTGGTCTCGAACTCCTGAGCTCAAGCAATCCTCCTGCCTTGGCCTCCCAGACACACCTGGAATTATGCTAAGATTACAGGCGTGAGCCATAGCCCCCAACCTCCACTGAATACATTTTAAAGGGACAATGATAGAGAAAAATATTGTATTTTCATTATACCCTATTAGTCTGGCTTCTACATCATACCAGTTACACATATATTAGTAAAAAAAGAACCTAGAATAAACAAAGCAAATATTACTTATTATTTTTATGAAGGCAAGAGATTTTGGCAGTGATTTTAAATTGCATACATAGTTCCTGTTTAAGAACTTGTTAGTAATATATAAAACAGAATAACAAAACCAACTAATTTAAGGACTAGAATTCCATTACTGCCACTTGTAGCAATCTGTGTGCTGCTCCCTTAACCTATCTCATTGTGCCCCCCAGCCCACCAGAAGTAGCCAAGAGCCTAAACTTTGTGTTCATCAATTCCCGGTTTTTAAACTCCAACATACATAAATAATTTATAATATTTAAATTTCCATTAGCAAATGAAGATAGCTACAACAAATTCCAAAAAATAGTATCCATACAATGAGCCCCGACCACAATATAATTAAATCAAAAGTTAATAACAAATAAAATTTCACCAAAAAACCATACATCTGGATTAAAAAAAAGAAAAAAAACAACACTCTAGAGGAGTGATGTTAGTATAGAACTTTCCAGCATTCATCCCCTTACAGAAACATCAATTTGAAAACCTATCCTCACATGAAAATATCTTTATAAGAGCTAAGTAATCCAGTTTAGAGATTATAGCACGTGGTTATAGCATAGAAATATGAAAAAATACATGGAAGAAGGTAGGAAAGCCAGTTTAATATTATCAATAGCACCCCTCTCCTAACCCCAGGCAGCACAGCACTGAGAGACATACCCTAAAGTGGGTAAAGAAGAGTGAAGTGAGAACCTAACTTTCCAGTGGACCTCAGAACCAGGCCTCCCCCTACAGCCCCAGGCTCCAAACCTGCCCCAGTGCCAGGCCATCCCTAGGAACCACAAGCTCTAGGATAGCACCTGAGCAAGCAGACTCCAGGCCCACCCCAAGCTCCAGACTGGCCCCAGGACTCACCTCTGTGTCCCTAGGCTCTAGACCAGCCTCCACAGTCTGAGGCTTCAAGCCCACCCCAATAACAGGCCAGCCCCAGCAACCCCAGGATCCAGGTCAGTCTCCATGGTGCCAGCCTCCTAGCTTGCCCTGGGCCAGGCTAGACCCTGAACCTCCAGACTTCAGGCTGGTACCCACAAACCAAGCCCTCCCCAGTGTTAGGGTGGCACCTATGAACCCTACCTCCAGGCTAGCCCTCATGGCCCTAGGCTCCAAACTTACCCACATAGATACAGGCTACAGACCAACCCAGTGCCAAACTAGCACCAGGATCATGGCCAGCTAACTGCCAACTCAGGCTCCAGGACCATCCAATGCCAGGCCAGCCCATGTGGACTTAGGATCCAGGCCTGTCCCCATGGCCCCAGGTGCCAGCCCATCCCAGTGCCAGGCCTGCTCCTGTAGATGAAAACTGAAGGCTGGCTCAAACACCAGGTCACCCCTAGGGACCAAGGCTTCAGACGGGCTACAACAGACACATGTACCAGGACACAAGACACATAAAAGATGTAAACTGTGACATCAATAACATAAAATGTATGGGGAAGAGAAGGTAAAGTATAAAGTTTTTGTATATAATCAATGCTAGCTCATTATCAGCTTAAAATAGACTGTTATAAGATGTTTCATATAAGCTCCATGATAACCACAAAGAAAAGACCTCTAGTAAATACACAAAAGATAAACAAAAAGGAATCAAAGCACACAACTACAAAAAGATCATCAAATCACAAGAGAAAACAGCAAGAGAGAAAGAATGGAACAAACAAACCAAAACACAGAAAAAAATTAACAAAATGACAGAAGTCTTTATGTATCAAGAAAAAAAACAGTAAGAGTCAGAGTGTAAATAAATAAAATAGAGACCAGAAAGACAACAGAAAAGATCAATGAATAAAATCAGAAATAAAAGACTAATACAACAGAAATACAAAGGATGATAAGAGACTACAAAATAAATAATTATATGTGCACAAGTTGGATAACCTAGAAGGAATAGATAAATTCCTAGAAACATACAACTTACCAAAATTGAATCAAGAAGAAATAGAAAATCTAAACAAACCAATAACAAATAAGAAGATTGAATCTGTATTCAAAAACCTCCCATCAATATAAAATCCCACAACCAGAAGGCTTCATGGCAGAATTCTACCAAACATTTTAAAAAGAACTAATATCATTCCTTCTCAAACTCTTCCAAAAAAATTGAAGAAGAGGGAATACTTCCAAACTCATTTTACGAGGCCAACATTACCCTGTTACCAAAGCCAGAGAAAGGTACTATAACAAAAGAAAATGACAGGCAAATATCCCTTACGAAAATAAATGCAAAACCCTCAACAAAATATTAGCAAACAAAATTCAATAGAACATTAAAAGGATCATTCACAGTGAACAAGTAGAATTCATCCCAGGGATGAATTTCCCAAGGGAAATAAAAACATATCTATACTAAAATTGTAAATGAATGTCCACAGCAGCAATATTCATAGGAGCCAAAAAATGGCAACAGCCCATATGTCTATCAGATGATGAACAAACAAAATATGACAAATCCAAAATTACTTGACAATAAAAAAACGAAGTCTTTGTACATGATAAAAAAATAATTCTACACTTTATATGGAACCAGAGAAGGCCCCCATATAGCAAAAGCAATCTTAAGCATAAAGAACAAACTGGGAGGCATCAATTTACCAGACTTCATGCTAAACCACAAGGCTATAGTAACTAAAACAGCATGGAATTGGCACAAGAACAGAGACACAGACCAATGTAACAGAACTGAGAACCCAGATATAAAACCATCCTCATATAGTCATCTAATCTTTGACAAAGCAGACAAAAACATACACTGGGGAAAATAACCCTTATTCAATATATGATGCTAGGAAAATTGGATAGCCACATGTAGAAGACTGAAACAGGATCTGCACCGCTCACCTCTCACAAAAATCAACACACGGTGGATAACAGACTTAAACCTAACACATGAAACT